TTTAAAAAACATTTCTTCTGCAAAAAACAGTGACGAATCCACAGACTGTTTATTATGTCAATGATATAAAGTGTAATCGATGATGTCAGTTTCGAAACAACTTATTATTGTACTAGCTGTTCGCTATCTGATTTGATTGTAATTGAAAACGAATATTACAGATTTTTAGCTTGATTGGTGTCATAAAAATGTCATATTGAACGACTTGATAGATATGAAATTATTTTGTATAGTATATGTAACTAAATACGATAAAGTTTGCGATAAAATACAATACTTTAAGCTCTATATACGATATAATATTAATAATATACTTATATATATTTATAGCATTATCATAAAAATATAGTCATAATTGAATTCTACTTACGATATAAGGCAGGTTGACATAAATTTCGTTTTATCAATATCCCTGTTTGCACCATTAGAATCGTGCAACTGATGGCTGGATGTTTTTATGTACTTGTAAAATACTAGGTTTGCTTACATATTAACAATGGTAGCTATACTCAAAACGTGGGTTTTAATCAATAAGCAAACAAAAGTTATCTATCCAGAGCCTTTTTGTGATACGCATAAAAGTTTTATATGTATCGATAAAGTTTAAAAGATAAAATTTCGATGTCATAAAAATGTCATATTGAACGACTTGATAGATATGAAATTATTTTGTATAGTATATGTAACTAAATACGATAAAGTGCGATAAAATACAATACTTTAAGCTCTATATACGATATAATATTATAATATACTTATATATTTATAGCATATATCATAAAATATAGTCATAATTGAATTCTACTTACGATATAAGGCAGGTTGACATAAATTTCGTTTTATCAATATCCCTGTTTGCACCATTAGAATCGTGCAACTGATGGCTGGATGTTTTTATGTACTTGTAAAATACTAGGTTTGCTTACATATTAACAATTGTAGCTATACTCAAAACGTGGGTTTAATCAATAAGCAAACAAAGTTATCTATCCAGAGCCTTTTTGTGATACGCATAAAAGTTTTCAATGTATCGATAAAGGAAGATAAAATTTCGCTGAGATGACAAATTTATGGAACAGAATTAGTGCATTTATTCCATCTTGCTTGATGATATTGGGACTTACATTATGCTTGCTTCCATACTTCTTAATGACAATGAATACTATCATGCATTATGATTACTGAATGCACTATCATGTAAATTGCAACTTTTTGTGTTCCTTTCTGAACCATCAAACTTACACATTTTAGTATACTATATCTTTAATTGCATCTTTTTAGGATAGCGTATTATGTTCGGTGTTTAAAAGAACATTCTTAGCTTGTTCTTGATACAACTAGATGTAAAATGGTAAGTTCCTGTCAGTACCTTTAATTTGCTATAAATCTGCCACTAACATTGTCGACCTTTTTTAAAATAAATAATTGATTTTAATCGATACTTGGCGAATTTGACGTGTCTTAGCATTCACATGCTTCAATATATTCACTGATTACAAATATAATGCCCCGAGAGATGCTTTGGTAGTTTAACTCTCCAGGAACGATGGTTAGGAAACTACCCGCCTATGTGACTGAAATACAATTGGGAAAACACACGTTACCAGTTGGCTTTAAGCATAATGCGAGTTGCCACATTTTGTTTTCATATTATGACAGCAGGTTTCGCTTTGTCGGTACATCCCGTTATTTTCCGGATGGTCCCTCTATTTTGGCGCGTTGAGTATATGAAAATTACGTCCCCTTTATATAGGGGCGGATACCAAACAGTGTTAGCTCGCGCTGACATGTCAATGAAAAATCTGAGAGAAAACAATAGAAAGAACGATGTGACGGGCGAAAAGTGCGTGGTTTTTTGTTGTTTTTTTTGAGATTCGGCCAGCATGTGACAAAAGTATAATAGATGACTCTTATAACTCATCCTACAAGTGGCAAATCACCTCTTATAAATACATTGTTTATACTTCTTTTTGAGCGTGTGCCTTAGTCGTATGTGCAATAGTGAAATTATATTTAAAGACATACTATGCTCAAACTCGATAAATGAAAATATTGATAATTGCGTCACAGTCTTTTCGTAATATAAAATAAATATCATATGGCTCTTCAGAAATGTTTTGCTTTAAATCATATACCCTATAAATGGGCACTATGAATATATAGTGTAATTGAAAGAATATGGTAGTTTTTTAAGAAAGGCACAACTTTACCTAATTGAACCGTTATAAGGAACACAGATTCCCATACATTGTTTGTATATGCTTTTATTTAAATAAGACATATTCAGTAAATTTTTTTAGATTTCAATACATTTCTGTAATAAAAATATATTACTGAAAGGTGCGAATAGTATAATTTTAAGCATAAATGTATGCGAAGCTCGTGGTGTGTGAGAGGTGTCTGTGACACAGTAAATTGATGACGTATAGGCCCATTGGGCCGACATCAGGGGCGTAACTAGGCGTACTCCTGTACGCCCGTGCGTACAAATCAATCCTGTGTTCAAAAAAATCACATGCGCTAAAAGTTCTAAAAAAGTGATAAAAACATAGGGGGAAGTGTCACGGGGGAGGAAGTGTTACACGAAGGATGGAGTTCTTATGATAACTGTCACGGAGTTCCTGGAAAACGTTACGGATTTCTGTGGAAAACTTTTCTATTTACTTGGAGAAATCACGTGAAAAATGGTCATTTTTACCTTTAAATGGGGAGTTTGAGGTGCTAAATTAAACTTTGATAATTAAGCTTGCCCTACATATTGTATAATGTTTCAGAAAAACCTTTTATTCCATTTTTCATCGCCTTTTTATAAAAAAATTTGGTAGTTTTGAGTAAAATTTCCAAATTACTTGCTCATTCGTACATATTGACCTTTTCATTTGTGATCTTCTTCGTTGCTATACTTAATAACATAATTATAATGCAGAGTTGCAGACATAGAGCCCAGGCTAATAAACTTATACCCGATTTTTCAAATGTCACGGAGTTCTTGTGATAACTCAAAATATGTCCTGGAGTTCTTATGATAACTTTTGTTACTGCCAGTGTGTTTCTTGTGCTAAATTACGGCCCGTTTAAGCGTATTTTATTAGTCAATAAGTGTGTAAATCATTATGAAGCATAGTACGCGTATCATTTGCACACACATTTGGTTATATAACGGTGGTTTAGAGTGTATTTCAGTTCAGGAGATATTTTTCTTACCTCCGTTTCTTGTGGGTTTTTTTGTGTTTTGGTTTTTTCGTTTGTTTGATTGTTGTTTTTTTCCATTTCATTGGAATGACTGAAAACATACTTGATGTAGAGCATTTACTTACAGGATAAAAATACGCTTTTAATTTAATATCTAAGCATGATTTCTTCATGTATACATTATTCCTGGCACTTCTAGAGAACATAAAGTAATTATGCTATCGGTCTGCCGAAACAAATTACATGTAAATGGTTGCAGCAAAATAGGAAGTAGTATGCATTACCTTTATGTAAATTTAATGAATGAGGTGGGTGTCATCTTTAGATATTCAATGGATATCTTAATTCCTAAAAGGTATAAATTTTGTCATAGAAACGTATAAAGTTCTATGACAATGATATGACAATAGAAAGTAAGCCTTTAATGGTGACTCACATATATTATTAAATTCTTACTTTCTATTGTCATATCATTGTCATAGAACTTTATACGTTTCTATGACAAAATTTATAACTTTTAGAAATTAAGATATCCATTGAATATATAAAGATGACACACACCTCATTAAATTTAGATAAAGGTAATGCATACTTCTTCCCTTTTTGCTGCAAACCATCCATTTACATGTAATTTGTTTCGGCAGACCGATAGCATAATTACTTTATGTTTTCTAGAACTGCCAGGAATAATGTATACATGAAGAAATCATGCTTAAATATTAAATTCAAAGCGTATTTTTATCCTGTAACTAAATGCTCTATATCAAGTATGTTTTTAGTCATTCCAATGAAATGGAAAAAAACAACAATCAAACAAACCCAAAAACCCAAACAAACACAAAAAAACCCACAAGAAACGGAGGTAAGAAAAATATCTCCTGAACTGAAATACACTCTAAACCACCGTTATATAACCAAATGTGTGTGCAAATGATACGCGTACTATGCTTCATAATGATTTACACACTTATTGACTAATAAAATACGCTTAAACGGGCCGTAATTTAGCACAAGAAACACACTGGCAGCAACAAAAGTTATCATAAGAACTCCAGGACATATTTTGAGTTATCACAAGAACTCCGTGACATTTGAAAAATCGGGTATAAATTTATTAGCCTGGGCTTTATGTCTGCAACTCTGCATTATAATTATGTAATTATGTATAGCAACGAAGAAGATCACAAATGAAGAGGTCAATATGTACGAATGAGCAAGTAATTTGGAAATTTTACTCAAAACTACCAAATTTTTTTTATAAAAAGGCGATGAAAAATGGAATAAAAGGTTTTTCTGAAACATTATACAATATGTAGGGCAAGCTTAATTATCAAAGTTTAATTTAGCACCTCAAACTCCCCATTTAAAGTTAAAATGACCATTTTTCACGTGAGTTCTCCAAGTAAATAGAAAAGTTTTCCACAGAAATCCGTAACGTTTTCCAGGAACTCCGTGACAGTTATCATAAGAACTCCAAACAAGTTATCATAAGAACTCCATCCTTCGTGTAACACTTCCTCCCCCGTGAGTGTGGCCGGGGCACATACAGGCCTACTGACTCTTTCGACTTAATCATTATATAAATATTTCATAACATTTACAGTATAAATTAATATCTTTTAAAATAATCTATATTGTGATATATTGTACAGATTCAACGGAGGAAAGTTATGAAAAGCTTAAGGTGTCTTGTTCAGAACCTATTCTTGGCCGAGATATTCCCCTAGCATTGGCTTGGTGGCCTGTTTTTGCGCAACGTGCTTATTCGGCGCGCAGGTCGCCCGCAATATTTTTTTCAAACTTTTAACTATTCCCGTATCGCCCCTTTTGTGTCCTCTTCTGCTTTTGGTTGGGTGCCTTCTGGGTGCCCTGCTGGTTTGGCTGGATTGTGTAGGGGGCTGAGTTCTGCCAACGTAGCCTTGAATGTTAGATTTTTAATCTCATCTTTTAATCAGAAAACAAGTAACAAATTAGTGTAATATCTCAATGGCATATTAATCAATTGATTGAGAGAATTACTTTGCCGTGCTAAAAGGGCAGAAAAATACAAAGAATGTACACTTCCTTCTCAATTTTATGCAGTTATTTAAAAGAATAGTAAATTCTAAAATAAGTTGTTGAGATTAAATTTACTATTCTCTGTGGTCAGCAAAACATTGCGATGAGTCATCAAGAAAGTTACATCATTATTAAAGTCGTACATGCATATATCTGCTTATGAATTTACTTTAGCACAAAAGGTCTTAAATGGGTCATTTAATGTATTCACATGATCCACATAATCTATGTTAAATGCAACAATTTTTAATTAATTTACTGACACTTCTGAAAGGAGATTTTGAAATATCTTTGCATGTTATATAACGTGTAATATAACGCGTTTTTTATATATATACATGTATTGTAATGTAATGAAATATTTAACAGTCCAAAACAGTCACTGAACTAAATCACAATTTTCACACCATTATAGTTCTTAAATTAATATATTGTTACAACAGTTGCTACTTATGAAGATGCAAAATGACAGTCTTTCCTCAGAGAGCATTGGGGCATTGTGTGAATATATTCATATTTGTCGAGAGTCTCAGCGTTAGCTGTGGCTTATATGATGGACTAACGTGAATTTGACAATTCCGTCCAGCGGACCCGGCTTTTCTAAAGAAAGCAAGGCTCTGTACCCAAACATGACATATATAATCAGTTCAATTAAAACAAACGCTTGCTTTAGTTTTCGACGTTTCTAGTGTTTTTTTTTATTTAAAATTTACTGAATACGGAAGATTTGTTGCTATAATATCGGTTTGAAAGTCGCAAAATGACAATTTTTTTCTGCAAAAAAATCGATTATAAATATAAAAAAGTTCTATGGTATATGTAACGTACATGTTCATTTTACCTATTTTAAAATTGACAAAAAGAGTTTGAAATCATTACCAATATGTTGTCAATATAGCCTCTAGATAGTCACAAAATGCCAGGATATCGCTTCCTCTTTCAAAAAAAATTCTCGGGGGAGCATGCCCCCGAACCCCCCTAGTTAAGGAATACATACCAAAATAGCTCAGTTACGCCCCTAGCCGTGTACTATATTCGTACACATATATGATCATTATTTGTAATTGGCTATGCACATTTCACAATAATAAACAACTTCCTTCCTTCCTTCATTCATTCATTACTTCCTTATTATATATTGTACTACGTTACACGCCTTTTCGCCACTATTAGTGACTTTGAGACATTTGGAAAGTTAAAAGGTTAATAAAATTGCCTTTCTAATGTTCAAGTCATTAGATAAAGGCCTTTGCAGCACCTTTGCAGGTGCTTAACTTATGGATGACAGCAATAAATATTTTCATAGGGGAGTACATTATGACCAATATTGCATGAAACTGACACAAGCAGACTTTAACAAAATCCACCGTGTAATTTTAGTGTGCGAGAGGAAGGGGGGAATAAAAGATATTCGATTTTGAATTACTTCTACAAAAAAGTAATACAAAAATGAACTAAACAGTAAATAGTTTGTTTTAAAGGTATATGACGTTTAAGCCCATCTCACACAGGACACACGGCTTACACGGTTGGCCACCCGTGTAAACCGTACATACAACCGAACCAACCGTAGCGTTATCCGAGTTACACTCGGGCCATTCGAGTGTATCCGTGTAAGCCGTGTATGATTTTTAAAACTTTTAAAAAACTGGTACGGATGCCATGTCCGTGTATGACCGTATAAGCGACCGTACAAGACCGTAAGAGACCGTGTGAGACCGTATGAGACCGTATATACAGCCGTATGTGAAGTTCACTCCACGACTGAGCCCAACCGTATCAAGGTCGTATATAAATCGTATGGAATCGTTCGAGACCGTCCCAAAGTCCTACATCCAACACCCGCTTTACACCCGAATGTCACAAGATCACGGTACGATTCAAACGAGTGCACACACGGTTCCATACGATCGCCATACGACCAATACGGTTCATATACGAAACATACATGGCCGACACGGTAAAGTACGGGTATACAGGGTCTCACACTGCCTCGTACGGTCTAACACGGCCTCTACGTCAGCAAGAACGGTACAAAAACACAAATAACTGCTGCCAACCAAGAGTATTTGCTGCATCACACTAGAATGTATCCAAAGAAGAAGGTTTGGACGCATAGAAGGAATACAAGAAGAGCCATCCAGGCCCACCGACCACTCCAACTTATTGACCATGGTAAGCTGGAGGACCAACCGGCAATAACCATGTCTCCCAGGGATATAGACTCCAATGCCAGCTCGGTGGACCCTCCAGCAACCGCTGCACCACAGAAAAAAGACACATTCATTTTACATTGCTTCACCTTTTTATTCATTTATTGATGTTAATGATTTATATATAGGTGTTCTTCGTTGAAATTTCGAAAATTCATGAAGCCAAGTCATCAAAATGGGTTAATTTATATCAAAACATACACAAATGTGTGATATTTCGAGCCTAAGTTGAACAAAAGTCGGCGGGACCCTATGTAAACCCTGTGAAAGTCGAGTAAATCGAGTAAAAGTCGTGTTTAATCGTACCAGACCGTACTAGACCGTACTTGGAACCGTACACTAGTCGTATGTATTCGTATGCAAATCGTGTTCAAACCTTGCTTGACCGAGTATATCCGTGCTCAATTCGTACATACTCGTGCTATATTCGAGTCTAATCCGTGCCAACTAATCCACAAGCACGGTTGGATCTCAAAACTCGTACCAGTCAACCCGTGTATAACCGAGTATACCGTATGGGAATCGTGTGTCCAACCGTGTTTTGTGTGAGACGGGCTTTACAGTCAGTACGATTAATGGCTTGTTCAACTTCAATAGTTATAGTCTGGATTACCTGCCTTTTTCTCCCCGTTCAATAGGTCAGGCACACGCTGTTAATGGCGGCGTCCAGTGTAAGGCTATAGTCAACGTCGTTTCAACGGTTTGCGTTATATTTTGAGTAAGAAGTTCAAATTTTAAATTTTTGCTCGGTACAATATACATAATATGCTACTTATATAAACATTTCTTGGTTTTATCAGTTAACCTGAATATTTGGTGATAGGAGTGATCTCAGTATTTCGGATACAGGTTCGTTCACGGTTCATGGTTGTCATCAAATACATAATTATACCAGAAAATGTATCAATATAGAGGATTTTTTTTTAGTTCAGTGTAAGATCGGAATATATTTCACCGAGTGAGCACCAAAAGGTATATTCCACGAGTGGCGCAGCCACGAGTGAAATATGAATTTTTGGTTTTCACAAGGTGAAATATATTTCGATCTTACACTAAACTAAACAAATTTTCTTTTTATTACATGCAAAGAAACGTTTTAAAAAGACATTAAACCTAATACTGAATGAAAAGCTCGCCAAATAATAATACAACGTGACGTCATTTACGACGTCACGTCATAAAGTTGGTACCCAGTACTGTGCACGCTGGTATTTCACTGAAACAACGTATAAGGGGCTTAAATTCAAAACAGTGAAATTATCAAAAAGGTAATTTCACTGTTTCAAACAGTGAAATTACCACTTTTATATCACTGATATATTTCTATAAACCACCGAAAAGCATGTAATAAAGGGTTATATTTTGGCTTGTAACTGTCGTTATTATTATAATAATTGAATACCTAAAGTGCTAGAAATCATGCAATTTCCCCTAAAACTAAGTTTTTATTAAGTTTTTTCTTCATAAAAATATTAGAATTTTGTAGTATATATTAGTGCTATATGAGGAAAAGTACCACACCCTCACCCTTTGAAAATAATGTTAATTTTTATTATCATAACTGTTATAGCATTTATTAGCATTGTAAAACTCAAATATTTTCCATAATTTTCAGAGTAGTCATTGACAATTCTTCCTCAAATATGGCAGGGGGAGAGAATCGAAGACATGCTTGTTAGAGGCCTCCAACAATGTTCGGTGATGATCACATGTACAGTTAAAAGTCATAGATGTAACAGTTCTACTACATTTGGATCACCAAGTACATTTGACACACGTAAGAGGGAAAGAAGTTCTCCTACTGGGACAACTCTGCAGCAGCCTTCTAAAATTGGATCAGCAGTCTTACCTGTAAGTGTAGGTATGCTTAATTGATGCAATTATATTTAATTTTGATCATTGTAAAAGTTATTGATTTTAGTTACATTTAATCATATATTCAAATACAACTTTATTTTGTATAAACAGATCTGTAATAATAAAAATAATATATATAATAGGTCTTTGGTATCAACAGGCCCCAGGTAATTCAGTTGTATTTAATAGAAAAAAATCCGTGAATCTTAGAGGTGGTTCTAGTCAAAATATGGACCACCTCTTATGGAAGGCACTCATTTAAATATATAGTTATATGCAGCAAATTTATAAGAATTTGTTTGGAATAATTAACCAAGTATTATAATAATAACTATCTACTACACAAACTTTTCTATCTCCAACGTTTCGAGGGGTTAAACCCCTCTTTTTCAAGGAGTTTCTGTTTATTTTTATATAAATCACATATTTATCTTCTTACATGTCTTATCTTAAACTATGTTATGCATACAGGAAATGACGTCGTTGACGTCAACAATAAAAATTACGCAAAACATGATGATGACGTTTTCCGTCAAAATTGTTCCACTGCATAACGTTGTTCCCCTTATTCAATATTATTTATAATTTAACATAGCAAGAATTATGAAACTTATTTCATTGAAAATACATTAAGAATAATAATAATAATAAAACTGATAATGATAATAATAATAATTATTATCATTAAACTTCTTTCTACTAAACCATGCCAGTAATATTTACAATAGCAAATAAATTGATAATAATAAAAATAATAATAGTAATTATAATAATTATAATAACAATAGTCTTAATAATAATAACAATGGTAGTAATAATAATAATAATAATAATAATAATAATGATGATGATAATAATAATGATAATAATAATAATAATAATAATAATGATAAAATAATAATAATGATAACAACAATGGTAATAATGATAATAATAATAATAATAATTACAACAATAATATTAATGAAAATAATAATAATCATGATGATAATAATAATAAATACATCTGTCATCCTTTATGATGTATTTAGGTCACCACCAAATGTAGCATACAAAAGATCAAAAAACTTTAGAGACATTTTAATTCATGGAAAACTAAAAAAAACAGAAAGGTATAATACAGAGCAGCCGTTGTAGTGATCCATGTGATACACCTGGGTGTAAGACTTGCATGTTCCTACCACAGAGCGAATTGTTTCAAGGGAAAGATGCTACGTACAGTATATATAGAGGTGGGAACTGTAACACCAAGAATGTAGTTTACCTGATAAGTTGCGGAGAATGTAATAAACCTGTATATGTGGGTGAAACAGGGAGGAGCATTAAAGAGAGGGTTAAAGAGCATATTTGGGATATAAGGGCATTCAGAGACAAACCTGTGTCCAACCATTTTAATTCATCAGCCCATTCAGAAAATGACATAAAATTCAACATCATCGAATCATTTAATAACAATAAAAGTACAATCTACAGACGGATCCGTGAAGAATTTTGGATAAATAAATTACAAACATGGTCACCTATTGGACTGAATATCAAAACAAAATAAGAGTTATCATTATCATTGTTGCCGTCATAATCACTTTTGCTGGTATTGTTGTTGTTATCGTTATTATTGTTGTTAAGATGATTTGATAGTGATATGCGCTTAAGGATTTATCAATATTATTATTGTTTTGATTGTTAGTATATGACAGTTATTATTGCATTCATCGGTATTTTTGTAATATTGAGTTGTTGCAATCTAATTTTTAATTTTTATCAATTCTATTTTTCTAACTACTAAAACATGGTAATTTTAGTTAGTCACTGCTTATCACGTGTCATTTATCATTATTACTATTATTATTATTATTATTAGAATCTACTATTAATATAATTATTATTTTATTTCATGCTTTCAAGTGTTTTATTGTAATCAAATGATTATATTCTGATAAACCACTAGTGAAATTTATAAAATATAATTTTCACTGTAGCCGAACTATATCTGAATGCGGATGAAAAGAAAATCATAACTAAATGGAATAACAGGCAAAAATAAATGCCGTCATGCGTAAATTTTGCTTCTTTAGGAAAAGAAAGTCGACGTCACCATACATCATGTTAAAAATGTAACATAATAAGAGAAATTTAACAGAACTATATTTCAAAATTGATGATGTGACGTCATGATGTGATGACGTCACAAAGGAGAATGCGCGACATTACGCGGCAAAATCAGTAAAAAAATACTTAAAATCACTTAAAAAGCATGAAATAAAAAGAAAATTTATTTGTTTTTATGCAAAACAAACAAATATCCATTATATACCTTTTATTATTATTATTGTTGTTATTAAGTTTACGGTTATTTGCTGTTATGATTATGATAATTATTATGATAATTATTATTATTATCATTACCATTGTTATTCTTCTTATTATTATCATTACTGTTATTTCCTACTATGATTATTATTATCATCATGATTATTATTATTTTCATTAGTTTTATTGTTGTAATCATTATTATTATTATTATTATTATTATCATTATTACCATTGTTGTTTTCATTATTATTATTTTATCATTATTATTATTATTTTTATTATTATTTTTATCATTATTATTATCATCATCATTATTATTATTATTATTATTACTACTACCATTGTTATTATTATTAAGACTATTGTTATTATAATTATTATAATTACTATTATTATTTTTATTATTATCAAATTATTTGCTATTATTACCTGATACCTTATATAAATGTAGTTTGTTATTATTTACTGTTTTCTGAAATTCTAAAAACGTCAACGTTCGCGAACTGTTGACCGGTCAATAGTTTCGACTGTTTCCCTCGCGTGCTCTGACGTCATCGACGTCATAGAGGATTCCCACTTGAAGCGGCTATCGATCTTGATCATAAACCAGACGTGACGTGACATAGTTAAACTATTAAGTTTAATTATTAACATATGTGCAAAACCATTTTCTTGTTCATTTTTCTTCTGTAAGTACTGTTAAAACTGTAGTTGATCAGGTAATAAAACAGTTATTTCATGCGTGATTTTTGGAACAGTCAAACAGTTGTCCCTCGGTGTCGGGGATAGTGTTTTGAACTGTTGCCCAGTTCAAAACACTACCCCCTCCACCTAGGGCCAACAGTTTGACTGTTCCCAAATCACATATGAAATAACTGTATATTGTAAATATTACTGGCATGGT